TAGATAGATAGATAGATAGATAGATAGATAGATAGATAGATAGATAGATAGATAGATAGATAGATAGATAGATAGATAGATAGATAGATATTTTTTCCAGTGGCAAAACTTTTGAAAGGTTGTTGACGGTGAAGGACAAGACCATAAATGACACTGTCAGAGCTATGCCTTAGGACAACAGACATTGGGAAAGGTTGGCAATTGGTTGAGGATTTCTCAATGTCTAACGAAGGCTGTAACAAGCAGATAAGGTTGAAAATACAGAAAAAAAACCCTGAACGAACAAACAAACAAACAAAAAAAACTGCTGTACCTTCAAATGAAGCTGCCCTTGGGCACCTTTTATTTAGCCAATGCAAAATAAGGGTGCACCTTTGTGGAGACAGTATCTTCTAGAAGACAAAACCATTAGCAAACTTCACCTTGAATCAGCACCTCATGAGTCATTAACTGCACATTCACAGAGCCGTGGCCCAGTCTCATCTCCGGAAAGAATGTATTTGAGTTTACTCAGGGGACGCTACTGAAAGTGGCAGCAATGGCCCTTTGGATTCCAGGCATGTTTCAAGGGAAAAAAATATGGCAGGGTTAACCATTATCTCTCCTATCTCTTCAACCTTTTATTTTCTTATATGTTGATTACAGTTTAGCAGGAAATGAGATGACTGCCATTTATGGGGATTTTTACATATTCCCTGAAAAACTGATCAGCCCACGGCGCTACGGATATGTAAATGAAAAGACAGCTGCATACAAGCAAGTAGGAATCAGTTACTGTACCACTGATAGATTGTGGGGATCAACCCAAAGATGTAGGGATTCACTTGAGGGTGTGAATGAGTTATAATTAATTTAGGCGTGCACTAAAATTAATCCATCAGAGAATGCCAGAAACATTTCTGTGTAGTTTCCTCAACCACCTGCTGGCTGCCTTATGATAGACAAAACCTTTAGTAAACAAGGATCCTGAAATGGCAGAGTGAGGCAAATTGAACATTGCTGTTCACTTTCTGTCTTCTATGCAAAAGAATTAGATCCTAGAATGCAAAACAACGCATATCTGCAGGCAACTCCACTGCTTGAATATCCTGCACATGAGAGCCCATTAAAAGCGGCATGTCTGTTTCATTTCTAAATTGCAGGATTTCGTATTTCAGAGGACTGATCACTGTCACCTTGTGACCTTTTACGTTGTAGATAAAGTGCAGGGAGACAGGTTGAGAAATGTTCCACTAAAGTAGAATTTGTAGACACATTGTACACAGACATAGAGGTATCTATATATATGATTGGCTGCTGTATCTCAGTGAGGTATGCTACATATTTCCTCTGTGCATTGTGTGCAACACAGCACAAACAAAGAGATTATACATGGCATAAAAATAACTTTATTAATGAAACAGAGTATGTTTTTCTTACTTTTAGACAAAAGGCACATGACAGCACAATAATATATACTTTATAGATTTGTTTAGCTATATTTATTTAAAA